TGGCAGCTGCCAACAAGAAGCATTAGAACAAAGGATGCTGGGTTAATAAATTGCCTCATTCATAAAATCCCAGTCTGGGTCTGGTTTTTTTTTTTTTTTTTTTTTTTTTTTGAGCTATGGTGTTGGCTAATGGTAGTGTTGGGCTGCAGGTGTGCCGGGGCGTGTCCCTGAGAAGGGGAAATTTCGGGGTTTGAGAAGGCAGTATAGCAGGGGTGAACCCTGCCATCCATCCCCTGCTAAAGATGAAAGGTGTCTTCTGCAATGCACTGTGTGATTGAGTGGGATTAACCCCAATGTACCTGAGTAACTTTACATTTGAGTGTGCTGGGGCTGAGCTCCAGGCATCCAGGTTGGCAGTTGATCCTGGCAGCTTTCCAGTACTAGATAGGACTATGCCGGAGCCCTGGGATTTCAACCTCCCGTGTCTGTCTTAATTCCCCGTGTATAACATTCAGCAACATGCCAGGTGAAACTTTCTTGCTTCAGAGCCCTTGATAGAACCCCTTAACAGAGGCTGGGCAGTGATGGCACACACCTTTCAATACCAGCAAAGAGGTGGATCTCTTGGCCCTTCTGGTCTCCAGAGCAAGTTCCAGGACAGACTTCAAAGCAGGTTTTTGTTTTAAAAGCTCTTACCAGAGTGGCTGTGACAGCCCTTGAATAGTGCCGCCCTTCCCAATGTGAAGCCAGGTAGCTTGCAAATACTTTGTTAAGCAAGCCTCTTCAAATGGGTGCCCTGACGCAATTAAAGATAAGGGAAAGTCACTGGGCAGTCAACAGGTTGCTCCAAGGCTGGGAGGTGTGGCCCAGGTTGGACTAGCCATGCCCCATTCTGTGGTCCCGTGAAGATGGATGGATGCCTTTGGCCAGGCTGACATGAACGCAAGTGATAAGGATGAGCAACTAGGTTCAAGTGAGCCTCCTAGCTGAGACTTTGCTTCATCCACTAGGGGGCAGCCTGGAGCCAGTGCTGAAAAGCTTGGTGTTCTATCTTACTCTGGAGAGGCACTCAAGGGCTGAAAACAGCTGTTCTGGTAAAGCAGGCACCTGACAATGGGGAGGGAGGGGGTGGCCTGTTGCTTCTAAAGGGCGAACTAAGCCTTCAGGGACCACTGAGCGAATTTTGATTTTTGTTCTTTTCGAGAGGGATTCTCTAGCTTTGGACTCCATCCTCTGCCTCCTGAATGCTAGGATTAAAGGTAAATGTGCCACCACCGCCAGGCTGAAACTCAGTTACTGCATAACAGGAGAAACCAGCTCATAGGACCAGTTTTGTTTAGCTTTGTAGCCCAAGCCTAAAATGACCTATAACTTCTGACTCCTGGCCTCCACCTTCACAGTGCTGGGTTTACAATTGTGTACCACAGTCTGGCCACTTGACCTATTTTTAAATTATGAAATATTTCAGGCATGCAAAACAGCATTCAAAGCAGACCTACAAAAAACTCCCAACCCATGGCTGCGAGGATGCCTCAGGTTAAGAACACGTGCTACTCTTCCAGAAGACTCCACCTCTAGGGATCCAATGGCCTTTGGCCTCGGGGGCACCTACACTCATGTGCGGGGGACACACAGCTGCACAAAAAGTAACCAAGCCAGGCAGTGGTGACACATGCTTTTACTCGCAGCGCTGGAAAGGCAGAAGCTGATGAATCTCAGATTGATCTACAGATTGAGCTCCAGGGCTACACACAGAAGCCCTGTCTCTAGCCACCCACCCATCCCCCAAAAACACGGGGTTAGAGAGATAACTCATAAGTTAGGAACACTGGCTGCTCCTCCAGAGTACCCATATGGCAGCTCACAACTGTCTGGGATCTGACACTCCCATAGATGTGTGTGGAATTGAAACACCAATAAAAGAATTTGTAGAAGACTATTATACAAGCAACATCGGTTATAACTCAATAGCTGAAACCTTGCCTGGCACAGGAGGGGCCCATACCCTGCACAAAATCAAACATCAGGGAATAAAGACACTAAAAACTACAAAGTCAAGATGAGGGGCTGGAGAGGCAGCTGAGCTGAACACTTCCTGCTCTTCCAGGGGCCCCTGGTTCAATTCCTTTCATCTGTATGACAGTGCACAACCATTCAGCTTCCAGGGAACCTGACAGCATACATTCAGACAAAGCACCCAGGCACAGAAAATGAAGATGAAACATTTTGTTTATTGGAGACTGTGTTTCTGTGTGTAGCCCTGGCTGTCCTCAAACTCACAGAGATCCTCCTGCCTCTGCTTCCCAAGTGCTGGGATTAAAGGTGTGTGTCACCACACTTAGCAAAGCAATTTTCTTTTTTAGGTTGGGCGAAGCTGTCTGAGTCCTTCCCCCAGCCCCAGTCCTCCTCTTCCCCAGGAGGGGAGAGTCAAGGGTGCACACATTCATCTCTATCACAGGCGTGCAGTGTCATTTTGCCTTTGGAAGACAAGTCAACTCCAACTACACCAGGGTTTTTCTCTTCCCCATGTCTGAAACTGACTTGTGCATTGCTGCTGTCTGCGGCATTCAGCTGCCCTATTCAGCATGTCCTTTCTTCTGCAAATGCACCTTGGAATTGTTTCATGATGTGTTCAGCAAAAAATCATCCTGCAATGAATATGGTTTTTGTTTTGTTGATGTCCTAAGAATTGAACCTGGAACCTCACCAAAGCTGCTTTATGCTATACTCCTCAAATACCCCCCAGCCTCTTTCAAATTTCTTTCTTCTTTTTCTTTCTGTTTTTATGTTTGGTTGGTTGGTTGGTTGGTTGCCTTTGGTTTTGGTTTCAAGACAGGGTTTCTCTCCTGGAACTCACTCTACTGTAGATCAGGCTGTCCTCAAATTCAGAGATCCACCTGCCTCTGCCTCCTGGGAGTTTGGATGATAGGAGTGCACCACCACCGCCCGACTAAATTAGCTCTCATTGATTTTTCTGTTTGGGTGTGTGTGTGTGTATGTGTGCACTACATATGTATGTGAGCCCGTGTACTTGAGAAGAGCGCTGGACCCTCTGAAACTAGAGTTAAAAACAAACAGTTGGAAGCCACCACATGTAAACATGTAAGTGTGGGGCATCGAACTCAGGTCCTCCGCAAGAACTGAGTGTGCTTGCTGGTAAACAGCTGAGCCATCTCTCCAGTCCCTGTCTTTGGGTTGGTTCATTTGAGACAACCTTGTATAGCTCTGGCTGGCCTGAAAGGCCTTAACAATCCCCAAGCCTCTGCTTCCCTTTTGTTGTTATTTTGATTTGTTTTGTTTTGTCTGAGGCACAGCCTGTGGCACCAGCCGACCAGGAACTTGCCTTTATCCTGTCTCAGCCTCACAGATTCTGGGATTATAGGCACATGCCAATACACCTATCTTAGTGATTTTTTTTTTTTTTTTTTTTTTTTGCCATGTCTTCATACATGTTAAAGTTGCCTAACTACTTACTTAGTATCTTCAAAGCTCCATTTCCAGGGGACTGGAGAGATGGCTCAGCAGTTAATAGCACTGGCTGCTCTTACAGAAGACCCAGGTTCAATTCCCAGCACCCACATGGCAGCTGACATCTGCCTGTAACTACAACCCAATGACCTTCCTGGAAAACAAAACACCAATGCACATTAAAAATAAATAATCTTTCCCTGGTATAAAACGGACTTTCGTTAGCTGGAAGGTGATGACACACACCTTCAATCCCAGCATTTAGGAGACACAGGCAGTCAGATCTCTGTGAGTTCGAGGCCAGCCTGGTCTCCAAAGCCAGTTCCAGGAAAGGCTTCAAAGCTACAGAAAAAAACAAAACAAACAAAAAAATACAACCCAGACTTTTGTTAACATTTTAAATTTATTTACTTATTTTTATGTATATGGTTATTTTATGAGTATGAGTATGAGTACCATGTGCGTGCCTGATGCGAACAAAGACAAGAAAAGGGTGTCCTATCCATTGGACCTGGAATTAGAGCTGGCTGTGAGCTGCCATATGGGTACCGGAACAAGCACAGGTCCAATGGAGATTTCAGGAATGGGCCACCACACAAGTCTCATGTTTCCTTTTTGCTTACGTGTGTTTGCACGTGCCCATGGGCTTGCCTCCCTTGCCAGCACTATCAAGGCTGAAGGTTGACCTCAAGTGTCTTCCTCAATCTCTTCCCCTTTAAAAAACAAAAACCTCACAGACATCCGCCTGCCTCTGCCTCCCAAGTGCTGGGATTAAAGGTGTGCGCCACCACTGCCTAGCTTTAAAAAAAAAAAAAAAAATGTTTTTTTAGAAGGAAGAATCTCTGAGTTTGAGGCCAGCCTGGTTTACAGGGTGAGTTCCAGGACAGCCAGGGTTACAGAGAAACTCTCTCTCAAAAAAACAACAAAATTTACAAATATTTTTAGGTATTTTTTTTTCTTTTGTTAGATTTATTTAGTATTTATATGTTTGGTGGTGAGTCACCATGTGGGTGCTAGGAATTAAACCTAGTTCCTTGACCAGAGAAATGAGTGCCTTTAACTTTTGAAGCATCCAGCCCCTCACCTTTAAAACAAAAGAAGGGTAACCCTGAGCTCAGTATGCTGCCTAAACTGACTGGCAAATGAACTCCCTGTTATCCATTCCTCACCACTATCTGCCTGTTTCTTTTTGCTTGTTTGTTTGTTTTTGTTTTCCAGACAGGGTTTCCCTGTGAGGCCCTGGCTGTCTTGGTGCTCCCTTTGTAGACCAGGCTGGCCTTGAACTCACAGGTATCCACGGCGTGCACCGCCACCGCCTGGCATCTGCCTGTTTCTTATGCAGCCCAGGCTAGCCTCTTGGTTCATTAGTCTCCTATCTTGGCCTCTCAAATGCTGGGATTGCTGGCATGAGCCGCCACACCCACCCAACCCCCAGCTGAGTTCATTCCACCACAGACTGTATAGCCTGACTGCAGCAGGCTCCAGCAAGGCTCCCTCACCAGGATCCTTCCGCAAGTTCAGTGCTGATAACCAGACCTTGAACTAGCTTCTTCCCCACCCAAGCCCTAGAGACTCGAGGGAGTTGTGGCCAGTGCAGGTGCAGGGTAGTTCCTCTCCACTCCGGGCCTGAAACACATGGCAGATAAAGGCCACTGGAGCCCATCTCCGTCGGGCCGAACAGGAAGTGATGTGGAGTTTGGGGTGGAATCTGGTACCTTAGGGCTACTGCAACCCAGACGGCTAACCAACCCACGGGGAGAAGATGTCAGGGAGTCTAGGAGTTCTCGGAATCCCGCCTGTCTTCCTTCTCTTCCTGTCTGAAGCCTGCCTAGGTAATGTGACCAAAGGGAAGGAGCTGGAGCTTGTGTGTGTGTGTGTGTGTGTGTGTGTGTGTGTGTGTGTGTGTGTGTGTGTGTGCGCGCGCGCACGCGCGCGCTGATGGGAAGGCTGGAGAGCAGGGAGAAAAGCAGAGGGAAGCCAGACAGGATGGTGCATAGCGCACAGCCCTTAACACTCGGACTACGGACATTGACCGGGAGGGAAGAATATTGCATTTGAGGCCAGCCTGGGCTACATAGTGAGTTCTATCATGGCTAGACTGGGCAGTTTACTGAGACCTGTCCCAAAAAAGAAAAGGAGCAGGGACAGGGAACTGGGGGACGCTTTCTGTACCAGGATGTACCCAGGTTGGGTTGGAGGAGGCTCAGGGAAATCCACTGACAGGCTCAAGACCACCATGCCCCATGACACAAACACATCTCCACAAGTAAGAATGAGGAACTGAGGTAAGTGTTGACTGAACAGGCTGAGGAGAGGGTGTAGAGGAGGGGAAGGGAGGGCATGCTTCATCAGACTCTCCATTCCCCTCCGCAACCCCAGCGTGGCCCCAAAGACCTAGGCTTTCAGAGAGGGGAAGCATCATTCTAGTGATACCTGGAACACAGGTGCTGCCTGAGTCTTAAGCCTGTGACCATGAAGATGCTGGGCTTCTTTTTCCACTTTCTTCCTCACTTCTGGCCTTCCTCTTCCATGCTGTGTCCAGGAAGGTGGCTGCAAGCAAGTGTGGTCCTGGGGAGGCTGAGAAGGGGGGGGCTTTCAAGATAAGCACAGAGTAGACATCACAGGCAGCAGCCCACCCTTGTTTCTGGGAACTCCCTCCCACTCCCCTAGACAGAGCTCAGTCCCGGGGACCCCAGGCTGACACATTAAAGTTACAGAGGTGAGAAACAGCCTGTGCACAAAAGCCAAGCCAAGGTCAGGAAGGGACAGATTCAGGGAGGTGGCGGGGAGTCACCACTCCCAATAGTCTGGGTGGTGCTGGGCCCCTGCCCACTCTGGGTCTAAGCTGCCTCCCCTCAGGCCCAGTGGAGGTTCCAAAGGGTTGGGGGAATGGAAACCATTCCTTCCCAACTAAGGGGAAGGCCTTCTTGAGTCTCTGAGCTGGTGTCAGGGTAATAATATGGAAAGGAGTAACAGCGAAGCAAGAAGCCACGGGCTTCTCTCCCAACATCGATAGTGTGAAGGACTCCGGACTGGGGCACTCAGGGCTATCCTCAGTCTGTGACCCATCCTCATATCTCCACAGACCCTGGATGTCAGGCCCTGAAGGTAGAGGTTCCACCATCGCTGACAGTGAACATAGGGGACGAGGCCCGCCTCACCTGCAAACACGATGGCCGCAATCCTAACATCACATGGTTTTACAACTTGCAGTTCAACTTCAACAACTCCAAAACCTTCGTGTTCGTGGGCCCTGCTCTGGGGCCCAGTGGCGAGCTGGTCATCCCCAACGTAAACAAGAGCCATAAGGGCATATACACGTGCCAGGTGAAAGAACACAGCACACAACAATGGTCCTGTGGCACCTACCTCCGCGTACGTGGTGAGTAGCGGGGGACACTGCCCCTCCTGTCCGAACACTGCTTTCACGGGAGCCAGCTCCTCCCTCCTGGACCTGCAACCAGCAGCACACAGATTCTCGCCTGCAGGACAGTGGGTGGCTTCGGGGCTCCCTGACCTCACAAGGGGCAGGCCTGGGAGAGGAGGGGACCCCGGGACAGCATCCTCCCTGTCCACACAGAGCCAGTCCCTAGGCCCTTCCTGGACATGGGGGAAGGCACCAAGAACCGCATCATCACGGCTGAAGGGATCATCTTGCTGTTCTGTGCAGTGGTGCCAGGGACACTGCTGCTATTCAGGGTGAGTCCCCCGAGTGACGAGTGTCGCCCGCCAAGTCATCTCAGCTTGCCTAGTCCTGGACTCCCAGTGTCCAGCTGAACCTCTAGATTCTGAAGTTCCTCCTCCAAAGCTTGGGAGATGGAGAGTACCCCTCACTGTAACAAAAGGGTTTCAAGTGATTCTGACTCAAGGGACGTTCCTATGCCCGGCTGGCCCTCTCTAGATACCTTCTTAGTCTCCTGTTCCACCAGAAGGGCAGTCCCCTGCAAATGCATCCAAGGCCAGGGAAGAAGGGGACCAGCGTCCTCCCAGAGTCCCTACTTCCCATAGGCAACAGGCAACTTTTATATATATGAGGATTCACTCTGTAGCCCTGACTGGCCTTGAACTCACAGAGATCTGCCTATTTTTTGCCCGTCCATTTCTGCTGCTGGAATTAAAGGTGTGTGCCACCACGCCTACCCTTATTTATTTCATGTCAGAGTGTGTATGTGGATAGTGTGTGTGAGAGTTTGGGCATGTGAGTGTTGGAAAACAACTTTCCAGAGTCCCCTTCATTCCTTCTGCTCTGGATCACCAGACCAAATTCATGTCCTCAGGTTTGCACGGCAACATAGTTCTTTCCTTTCGTTTCCTCTTTCTCTTTCTTTCTTTCTTTCTTTCTCTCTTTCTTTTCTCTGTTTGTTCTGGTTTGGCTTCTTTGTGTAGCAGCCCTGGCTGTCCTGGAACTCGCTCTGTCGACCAGGCTGGCCTCGAACTCACAGCGATCCACCTGCCTCTGCCTCCCGAGTGCTGGGATTAATGGTGTGCGCCTCCACCGAATGGCTACTAGTTTCTTTTCTTTTTCCTTCCTTTTCTTTTTTTTAAACAGCTCAGTCCAGACTATCCTCCATGGCTGGCCCGACCCTTTGCCACCACCAGTTTTTCCTTTTGAGTGAGGAGGTTAAGACGGATCCTGCTGTGCAGTTCAGGAACTTACTATATAGATCATATTGCTCTGGAATCCATAATCCTCCTGCCTCAGCTTGCCAAGTACTGGAGTTGCAACAGATGTTCTCCACAACTTCTTCAGTCTCTCTACCCCCACCCCCACCCCGAGACAGGGTTTCTCTGTATTGCTTTGGAGCCTGTCCTGGAACTATCTGTAGATCAGGCTGGCCTCGAACTCACAGAGACCTGCCTGCCTCTGCCTCCAGGCTCTCCACTACCACTTCTTATTATAGTTTACTATTACACTTGTCATCACTGGAGAATAGCAGAGGGCCAGCATGATGGCGTTGCACCTTTAATGCCAGCAGCCCTCAGAAGGCAGCAGAGGGGTCCAAGGCTAGCCTGGTCCACTTAATGAATTCCCAGGAGCTCAAGCTAGATGGAACCCCTGAGAACGTTGTCGGAATATAGTAGCAAACACATCCAGCGTGCTTTGGAAGGTGACGCGGGAGAACCGTTCAAAGTTTGAGGCCAGCAAGAAGAAAGAGAGGAGAGGATTGGAGAGCAGAATCCTCCGAGGTCCCAGTATGTGGCCTTGGGTGTGTCCTGTGTCCTTTCTGATAAAGCACTTGCTGGTATGAGAGGGTCTGAAAACTCCTTCGCCTCCTCCTTGCTTACCGAGGTATCTCAACACCTCCTGTAGAAGCGATGGCAGAACGAGAAGTTTGGGGTGGACATACCGGATGACTATGAAGATGAAAATCTTTACGAGGTGAGCACTGAGTGGGGTCAGTGCACCGGGAGAGGCCGTGGGTCCCAGCTGCCAGGGTACTGACCTCTACTCTGTCCCCTGCAGGGCCTGAATCTTGATGACTGCTCTATGTATGAGGACATCTCCAGAGGCCTCCAGGGCACCTACCAGGATGTGGGCAGTCTCCACACTGGAGATGTCCAGCTGGAGAAACCATGACTGACAGCCCCCACCTTCCCCATCCCCCCACCTCCCGCTGGGTCCTCTGCCCCTACCTGCCACATGCCTGACCTCAGCATCTGAGCCCCACAGCTCTTCCCGGGGGACCCCCTTCTCCAAGTGTATCACCCTCGCCTCCAGACTGCCCCACCCTGCTCTCCCACCTAATTCTGTCCTTCCCCAAGTCTGTCCCGGTTCCCGCTCCAGTGGGTAATGAGCCCTTAATCGCTGCCTCTAGGGGAGCTGATTACAGCAGCCTCGTTAGTGTCACCCCATCCTCCTCCCAGATCTGTCATGGCCACTTAAGTGCTAATAAATCCTTCCCAAAGCAGCCCTTGGCAGGAGTCATGGATCTCATGAAGACTGGTCCTTAACACTTCCACGGAACCAGGAGCATGAAGGCCCCTGTCCCCTTCCTCCCTCAGACCCAGGGTCACCTGCCCACTGCTGAGCTCTGGGACTAAACAGTCACTCCGGGCTGCCCCCGCCCCTCCAAGAAACAGGAAGTCTCTTGGGGAAGTCCCCACCCCAAATGAAGGGCTGGCTTAGCTCTTTTATAGGGCCTCACCCTCCCCACGTCCCTAAGCAAGGGGTAGCCAGCGGGGGTGTTAGCAAATTAGTATGGCATATTTAAGCTCTGAAAACACGAGGTATTATTTCCTGGGGGTGGGACTCGATTCCCTCATGGGTTCACGTGCATAGGCTGATTTGGAGAGTTTCTGCCAATAACCTGGAGATGGCAGAGAGATGCACAGTGGTGGGACACGGTGGCACTAAGACGGGGAGAGCAGACCCAGAAGGCGGTTAAAGCCAGGAGCGAGGCAGAGGAGACACGGGGAAACCCCAGAGACAGGGACGCAGAGCTAGCAGGACAAGACCGAAGACAGACGCAGACATGAACTGGCTGGCCCGAGCCTGAGGGCTAACAAGCCCGAGGTCTCAGAGGATGAGAGAGGCCCAGCGGCAATCTAAGGCGCAGAGGAGCTGCAGGGGGTTGAAGAAGCAGGGACCACAGCTCTGGGGGGAAAGGGCTGGATGGAGAGTGTGGGGTTCACAGAGAGTGACGCTCGCGCACACCTTTAACTTGAACCTCTGCGATCCAGAGGCAGAGGCCGGCGGATGTCTGTGAGTTCGAGGCCAGCCAGGGACTCTGTCTCACACTAAGAAGAGAGAGAGAAAAGAAAGAGGAAGGGCCAGGGCAGGAGCTGGGCAGGAGGCAGCAAAGCAGGACAAAGGCGAAGGGGAGCCGGGCGGGGCCGGGTGGGGCCGCACCCGCGGGGAAAGGAGGAGCCGCGCGGGCGAGCGGGCGAGCGAGAAGGGGAAGGAAGCCGAGGTGCCGGGCGGGCACGGGGCGCCGGCAGGAAGCGGGGAGGGGCGGCGGGCGGGGGCTCCGGAAAAACGCCCCGACTTCCTGCCCGCTGGAGCCAGGAAGCCGGAGCCGGGACGCCGGGCCCGGGATCGCCGAGCCCGACCTCGGGCGCCCCGCCGGCCACCTCCCCGTCCCCGCGCGGACACCAGGTACATCGTCCCTGGCCCCGCCCGACCTCCTCCCCCTCGGCCGCCGGGGGAAGCGGGGAGGAGCAGGGAGGGGACCCGGCGCCGAGGGCCTCCGGGAGTGGGGGCGGGGGGCAGGGAGCCTGCAACCTCCCTGCCTCGGACCTCAGCTTTCTCATCTGTCAAAGTTAGCGAAGAGAAAACCCGGCGTGGTGGCGCACGCCTGTCAACCCAGAACTTGGGAAGCCAGAGGCAGGAGGATTGCCGTGAGTTCGAGGCCAGCCTGGGCAACCTAGCATGCGTGACCCTGCCTCAAAAGGAAAATCAACCAAGACTGAGACAGAGACAGACAGACAGACAGAGAGCATTTGTCGAGTGCATTTTGGGTAGAGATGAACTAGGTTGGGATCAGACTGCCCACTGTTCAGCTCAGCTCAGAACCGTAACACCCGTTTATCAGTGGGGAAACTGAGGCTCAGGGAGTCGGACCCCTCATCGTAGGGATCAGGGGTCCTAAGTTAGAGGTGCCTGAAATAAACAGTAGCATCTCTGCGGGCCATTCTGAAGCCGAGAGTTACAGAGCGTTGAAATCGTCTCAGAAAGCTTTTTTTTTCCTCCCCCCCGGGGGGGGGGAGAGAACCAGAAACTTCGCTCTGAACAGATGGGAAGACTGAGGCCTAAAGAGAAGTCGCTGCTTTTGGCAGGTTCGCCTGTCGGGGAGCAAGATGCTCTGGAGCGCATGGGTGGTTTTTGTTTTTGTTTTGTTTTTCCTTTCAAATTGCAGCGGGAGGAGCTGACATGGGTGGCGGACGGAGTCGGGACGCATCCGTTGGCAGTTCAGCGGGTCCCGGTTGGGGAGGGAGACCAGGTGGGAAGGAAGACCCCGCGCGAGGTCGCCTAGGTGGATTACTTAACGAGATTGAGCTAAGCGGGCGCTGGAACCCTCCACCGCTCCGCTCCCGCAAGGGGGCGGGGCCCGGGAGAGTGACAGGAGCAGTCGAGACGCGGAAACGCGGGCCCTCCAACGCGGGCCAGAGCGGCCCGGCCGGGCCAGCGTGGCGCCGCGGAGAGCTAGAGCGGCCGGCAGGAGGAGTGGAGTTGCCGAGGCCGGAGAGTGGCGGGAGGCGGGCTAGAGCAGCCAGAGGGAGGAGTGGAGCCGGGCGCCAAGGCGGCCTCTGGCCCGGCTAGAGCGGCTCTGCGGCGCGGGTGGGGGAACCGTGAGCTCGGGCGCGGAGGCTTCGGATCCAGAGGCTGCAGAGGCTTCTCATCCCATCCGACAGGTGAGGTCCGCAGCCTTGGCTGCCGTCAAACCTGCCCCTGCGCGCCCTCCCTGCCGTCCACACTGCCACAGTCGCCGTAGTGCTGAGCGTCCCCGTAGATCAGCCACGTTCCTTGTCAGATTTAGGGCTCGTGAAGACCCGCCACGTTACACAGGTTATGAGATCTTTCATACTTTCCAGGTTTCAGGAAGCCATTCACGGGAAGCCGGTTTTTAATAAGCATGGGCTTGTCGTGGATCAAGCCGGGGCCCTCCAGAACCCACCACACACCGCTGTGGAGGTCCCATAAACCGTTAGTTTTCTCTTTAGAATCGGCATCTATCTGGGTTCCTGAGGCCCACTGTATCAAATAGAACCCCGGGGTCATGCACATTCCAGGAGCCGCTTCTACGTTTTTCAAGGCTCCTAGAGGTTCTTGGAGACCTGAACAGTCCAATCTAAATGCTTATGGACCCTGGCCCTTACAACCCAAGCGCTCTTGTGTGCTTATTCCTCCAGTAAGACCTCCACTGCGTAAACCTAAACCTGCCTGACTCCCCCACTCCATCTGCAAGAGCCTCAAGTTCAAAGTGCGCCATCTGCCGGACAACGAAGTTGTCAGTTGCCTATAGAGTCTCATTTTGCCAGCTTTACCTATATCCTAATTTTCCCACCCCCCTAGTCTAAGCCCAGACTTCTAGAGCTGCTGGGTCCATTCTGGATGACAGCTGAGGTCACAGCAGCCACATGACTTTCCCAGACAGCATTAGACCTGAAGTGTCTCAGCGCATTAATGCAGATTTTAGCATCCTAAGGGTGATTTGTGTGTGTGTGTGTGTGTGTGTGTGTGTGTGTGTTCACGCGTGCGCATGCGTGTGCATACACACATGTGCCAACTTTGCTGTGTCTGGTACATACTAAGAACACCTCAGATACCAGCTATTCTATGCTATTGAGATGAGGAATATGGAGATCATGCATGTTAATTAACTGTGAGAATCAGGGCCTTGCAGTGAACATTTGTTCAAATTGTGGGCTTTCTTTGGGTTCACTTTTTGGGAGTGAATTAATAAAGGCATTTTAATAAAGACTTAAGCATGAGAAGTAAGGGGCCATTTGAAAGACACTTGTGAGAGCTGGGCGGTGGCACACATCTTTGATCCCAGCGCTGGGGAGGAAGAGCAGGAGGATCTCTGTGAGTTCAAGGCCAAACTAGTATACAAAGCAAGTTCCAGGACAGCCAGGGCTACACAGAGAAACCCTGACTCAGAAAAGGAGGGAGAAAGGAAGGGAGGAAGGAAAGGAAAGGAAAGGAAAAACAGAAACATATAAGATGAATGTGTGTTTAAGAGAAATGGGTTTATTCTTTTTGGTTTGCTCTGTTTGTTGGTTATTCTGTTGGTTTGCTTGGGTAGAACTCAAGGCTTCTTAATGCCAAACAAGCATTTTGTCATTGAGCTACACCCTGAAGCCCTCCTCGGCCCCTTTGGGATCTCTCAGTTGGACATACTTACTGCTAAGTGGTATAAGTGTGAGGGTTCCAAGTCTGTGGCCATGGCTTCTAGCTGGCAACGGTAGTCTTTGAAGCCATCACCGTTTCTCAGGGGACGCTTGTAGCTGGGGAGGTAATGGACTTGATAGAGATGGGCATAGCACTTCACACCTGTAACACCAGAACTTGAGAGGCCAAGACAGGAGGATGGCCTCAAGTTTGAAGCCAGTCTTCAGAGTAAGATCCCTTCTTGAGGAAAGAAAAGGGAAACAAAAAACAACTAAGTTAATATAAGCCTGGAACAACTCTTAAGTGCTACATGAGTTTAGTTTTAGCTCTCATAATAATTACTATCTGCTGTCTTGGTTTGCAAGTTTGTTTATTAAACACTCAACAGATCTTGAAATTACCCAAGCTCTTATGGTGGACAGATATAGTTTCTGAGAAAGAATACAAATGATGCCTGCTTGGGTGAGCCCCCAAGGATAATTGCTGGGCTCTATGAAGCATCACTGCTCAGATATCAAAATCATAGCTACTGCTTATTGAGTGCTAGGGAGGAGCCTCATGGAAGAGGAGAAGGGCGGGTCTCAGGCAGCCAGAGTTATAAATAGCTTTAGGGTGTGGGGACCCGCCCCCCCCCACTGGTCCACCCCACCCCTCTTCCCACAGTTCCTTCCCTCCTGACACTGATCCACACAGCATTAGTCACACCAATTAGGGTGTAGAAGATGCTACTGGAAGGACCTGGGGAGAAGACCAACAGAGATGGGCAGACGAGGGATGGAGACAGATGAGACACCAGCTTGAGGCTGGAGCTGGACAAGGCCAGCTGTGGAAGGACAGCTGTGCGGAGATGGGGGAGGAGACACAGAGTCAGAGGAGGGGCCGGCAGAGATGGGAAGGATGGGCCAGGTCTGGGAGGAGAGGCGAAGACCTCCAGGGGCCACTACCACATCGGATTGAAGAGGACATGCACATGACTGACAGTGGGCTGCCCCCCCCCCCATCATTTTTCTGGAACAATAGCTGGGAACCTTAGGGACCGCTGGGCTTAAAAAGAGCTCCAGGGACCTGACAGAGAAG